AGAGAGAGAGAGAGAGAGAGAGAGAGAGAGAGAGAGAGAGAGAGAGAGAGAGAAAGAGAGAGCCGGTTGCTTTGGTACAGCACGAAAAACATCGAGAAAATTGTGCATAGATTCGTTGATATTGACAAGCGGGTCGTGCAAGTTAATGGATAAATAAGAGTAATGCGAAATAAATCAGGCCAGAAGAACTTGGGCATTCCGTGAAACAACTTTCGGGTTTTCGAGTTACCTTGCAGACCGACACCGGAGTTTCTATGACAGAGATTTCGGGGCTGATCGATATGCTTTTGAAGCGTATGGTGGTGGTTGTTGTTATTGTGATGATGATAGTGGTGATGACGATGATAGTTATGGTTATTCGGATGATGATTGTAGTGATTGTTGTGGTGATTTGGGAGATAATAGTTAGAGGATGGCTGGCGATTAGAGTGCCTGGCAGCCGGTAGCGGGTGCTGGTGGTGGTGCTGGTTGATGTGATGATTGGCATTGGCATTGACATTTGCATTGGCGTTAGGGTGAGATCCCGGGAGGAACTGTGGGTACACGTGGTGAGACCACTGTGGAAATAAGGGCCGCCCTCCTCCACCACCATTCCCATCTGCCGAGGAACCACATTTACCACGTTATCCGGTCGTGCGCAAACACTTTTATCGCTCGCGATCCATAGCGTATTCTATACTGCTCTTCACTCTATGTAATTGTTTAATAAAATTATGAATAAGCAGTATTATTAATATCTGTTCATCTTGAAGTACCCATTTTTTTAAATATGTTATATAGCAAATTATCAATATTCTCCTAAAAATAATTATACATGTATGCAATGCAACACATACACAGTTACTTAATTTGACAGTTTAAAAGCAATTATTATACTAAAAACTATTTTAAAATTTGTAAAGAAAAATTTAGAGCACGCCAAAAATTTATTATAAAATTCTAAAAAAATAATATATAAATATCTATTACAATAACAAATTTACTTCTGTTATGTGCATTTAAAAATTACGAAGATAGCATATTTGAAAAGCCCCATCAAGTATTTATTTAACATTCATAGAGTGAAATTCAGTAGATAACATTTTGTGTCATTTTAAATATGTATTATCATAAAAATTGCTAATAATTTTTATTTCTAATTTGTAACATAATATAAATTTAATAAAGAAAAATTTTAATAATGATGAAAATAATGTATTACTATTTTCATCATATTACATCAATATAATAATGTTTACACCGATTTAAAGTTCTATATCAATGTTTGTAATATGTTTTAGCAGTAATAATTGGAGTATTACATTCTAAAAGAACTTATTTCACACAATCGTGTAACAGTCATAACGATATTTGTTTTTCTCTCATTGTCCACATAAAAAAGTTCCACATCCAAGAGAATACAACAACAATAAATATAACGACGTAAGTATATTCGTAACGCAAAGAAGGTGCAAAACACATTCGGCAAACATCAAAACTCTCACTGTCAGATACATATAAAATGTTTACTTCATACAGTGCAATAACACATGCGTTCTACTTGGTGTCATGTGCTGTTTTGTCTTAGTTGCAGCTACATCGTTTGGTGCACAGTGTTGAACACATTAGCTACATATCTGTACATATATGCAATTTGTAACATTCATCATATTTCATTCATTTCAACATTACTGTGACAGAAAATCTTTAGCTAGTTAATCTGCGAAACTTAATAAAAATTACATAATTTCATAACAGCGATGTATGTATCAATGTTAATTAAAAAATTTCAGAGAGAAAGACATAAATTTTAATTTTATCTAAACAGTAAGCAAATAAAATATCTTTACAAAGTATAAGTTTCTCGTTTAGACATTTATATAGCTGCAATCATGCTGTAATATCAAAATTATCAATTTATAAATTGAATTGAATTTATATAACTTTTAAAACGAAAGATAAGAGAATATATATCTGACACGTAAGAGTTTTGAGTAACAGAAGAATTATTAAAAGTCTTTAACTTATTTTTAAGGGAAGTGTTAGTATTCAACGTGCAAATCATTATAGCATTAAAATTAATAATTACATTTTTTTTTTACCATTTTTTAATAACTTCTTTTGTAATAATAGACGATATAATCACAATCATAAATATTTAATTATTAATAAATTAAACAAATTTTTAATTATGAAAAAAGTATAAGAGTTATCAATATGAAATAGTATTATTCTTTGTATTTTATAAGTTCTTTGCAGAGTGCATACCCAGTAATAAACAATTTAAAGATAATTTTTGATTAATAAAGTTGCTATACACATTATTTTGTAATATTATTTGTAAATTGTAAGATAATATAATATTATTCTCATCCGTTAATTAAAAATAAATTTACCTTCAATGAATTTTGTGTATTGATATTCACACAGATTATTTTTTGGATTAGTGTTAGTACTGTTAGTGATTGGTTAGTAAATAAAACACGGGGATCTCACCTGAAGGACTACCTGGCCTAAGACCGGCACCATTTGTCTGTATTGTTTGCACCGGACTTGGTGGGCGCTGCGATATTGGTGGTTCCAATATGTCGCGATATTTGGAGACCATCAATACAGAGATGAAGTAAACTATAGCAAGGGACAGAAACTGTGCCTGCTTGGTTTCTTCCTAAAATTCATATGTACGTGACTTAGTTTTCCTATCTTATATATGTATCGTATATATTCACAATCATTTTACTTTCTCGTTGCTATGTGAAATATCGTATACTTACAACATCTCTGTATATCACAGCTCTCAAACGATTTACGTCCATATCTTGCAGCAATTTCTCGGGATCCTTAACAGGACTTAACTGATGCGTAAGATTATCCACGATGTTCTGTAAATAAAGAATATTTTGATGTAATAGAAATTATTATTAATTACAAATAAAATAGTCCTTCATTGATAAACAAAAATTAAGAGAAAAAAATATATATAACAACGTGTTTATCGCATCTATTACTGCTATAATCATTAAAATAAGTTTGATCGGATAAAACGTACCTTAGGTGATGTCTGAGCTCCGCGAATAAGCGATTGTATATGCTGTGATTTATTACTAGAACCGATCTGTCGACCTAACATGCTGTACGATCTGCCACGTTCTTTACACTCTAAGCAGTTTCTAACGGCACATGTACAGACCTATAGAAGCAGTTTATTAGGTAAATACAACAAAAAATGTTGTGTGAATGTACATATTAAATTTCTAATTGGGACATATGTTAGAAACTAAAACATGTTAGAAAAATGAAAAGCATATTTATAAAGCTAAGAATGTTTAAATTAATTATACTTAATTACTTTTTAGAAACTACAATTATAAATATGTTACATTTAATTAATTGTGAGTAACACTCGTCAATGTTTTGTATCAAATACTGTTAGATAAAACATTCAATTTTCTTTAAATTATAAGTTTTGACACACACACACAAAATTATAATCATTTGTCAAAAATTTTATGTTATAATTTACATCAAAAGAACAAATTTAAATTAAATTTTTTATTCGTATAAATATACGATAGATTCATAGATTTATATAAATTTTATTCACTACATTTTGTTATATTTTATATTTTTAAAGTGTAATCTGTACTGTATAATCTGACATGTGCATGCCCCAAGTATTATGTATATGTATATATTCTCACTAAAATAAACATAAATAAAAATTCGATTATTATCGCAATTGCACTTTTTCATTCGTGAATCACTAAACCACGTCATTTGTAGATCACTCGCATTTGTAGATTAATCGCAATTTATGAATTTTTATACGGAAATTGTAATTCTTTTCCAAAATTAATTGCATATGTAACATTGTGTAAAGCGAAACATAAAAGTATACTTGATGTCGACATAATAAACTTTTACAAGTTCCTTTCTATATTGAGAACTTGATATTTTGTAAATTCTATACTCCGTCAAGTGCATAACTCAAACATACACATTGTGCACTAATATTTAATATTTTCCTAAATTGACAAATGATTTGTTAAAATTATTTAGCTATATAAGAATAATAATAAAAAATAGCTATGTCTAACTATTCTAACAAAGTTCATTATTTCATTCTGTATCCATAAAATATCTTATGCATGATAAATACAAACCAGTCGTAAACATTGTCGCAATATGCCACCGCTCGACATGTTTTTCTCAGCTTCCAGTTCTCCAAAGTTTAACGAACTGGCGAATATAAGTACGTCGGCCATGTTGACTAGTCTTTGCAAAAAAGAAACTGCTACTTCGATTGGCATTCCCTGAGTTGGCTCGATTACGTCCAGTTCGTTCTAGAATATGCGTAGATTAAAAATAAAGGTTGTAAGAATATCTTTTTTTTTCTTTTTAATCGAGTCTACCACGGCAATTTACGTACATTTGGCGAAGTGGCCGACGCTAGTAAGGGCAGCAGACCGCCGCAAGCTATTATAAGGTTGTCAGCTAACTGCGAAATTAGATGAACAGTATTCACTACGAAAATCGCGTTCTCGCTGTTGTTTACGAAATCCAATACGGACTTCGTTGAGTGACTGTAATACAGAACTTATTGTAGAATATTCCGACACAATCGATAAAGTGTTAATATACATTTGTGCAGCATTGTATATCCTACCTTCTCCATACTTGAATATCTGTTTCTAAAGAGAATAGCACGTCCGACAGCAGCCGTTGGTGTATGTATGACCATTTAAATTCCGGTATTCTGAATGGAGGTCGTGTCGGGCCTGGACTGAACATTGGCCGTGTGGAGGGATTTCCTTGCTTTGATCTTTTGGCTTCTGCGATAAAAAGAATACGTAAAAATATAGATGTACTTTTATTAATAAAACAGATTAATTTTTTTTATGACTCACCGAAATGATTGGGATCCACCTGCGTGGACGTAGAGGCACTCCTTGGTCGTTTTTGGGGCGACGATGTCTTTCGTAGGGGTACAGGCAAGGAGGGTGGCTCGTGACCGTTATCGTCCGCGATCGTTTCCGAGGTGACGATCGGTAGGCTGGATCTGCGATGGGTATCTACGTGATCTGGAGTTAAGTCATTCAATAACGCATTGTCCCTGGCAACCACATTAGAACTAACGATTTGAGGCACACCGTCGGATAAACTTTTAGTTGCATCACAGACCGTAGATATTGTTGAGATTTGCTGCTTAGGATTTGGCACTTGCGTCATATTATCTACAGAACTTTGAACGTCGCTATTACTACAAACACTACCTGTAACTTCTACCTCGTCAGTCGTCGCAGGAACGTCTGACTTATTATCACTTACGTTAGTAGAAATAGTGGACGGCTCCCTTGAGTGTTTCTCGTTTACATTCGCGTCTTCGTTATCATTAATAACAGCACTTTTGTCCTCCGTTAAAGAATCCACGGCGCGTTTATCACTACTTAACGCACTATTCACTATTACGGGTTCCACCTTCTCGTTTCCTAGATCTATCGCCTTCTCCGCGCAAGCCTCACCGCCTTCTACTACGCTAGTTGAGCAATTAGGATTTTTTACAGTTTCTCCTGCGTCCTTCTCACCAGTCTCAGCGGTAATGTCCCTGTCTTCGGAAATATCCTTTTTTTCGACGGACTCATCGTCGTTTTTCTCATTTTCGGACGATCTGCTTTTTATCTCACTCGAGATTTCTTGGTTCTCAGTTGGCGTCAAGTATGCTTCTGATGTATCGCTATCAATTACCTCGCGATCGTTCTCCAATTGGAGCTTCTCGATGACTTTAACTGTTAACGGTTCCTGCGTTTCGTCAGAAGGGACATTTGGCACGGTATCTTCTTCAGTGTCGGCGTCGACTTTTGAAGTAATAGAGTCGGCCACATTTTCAATTACTGTTGCAGCCTTGTCGGAATCTTCAGTGTTGGTTGGCGTATTACTGTCATCGGTCGTAACGTTATTCTCCTCGACAGACTTAGCAATCTCCTCCTTCACATCCTTGTCCTCAACCAGTGGATTATCAACTTTGTTCACTGTTGTGGAATCCATGTCGGGAATATTTGTATCTGTCACAGTTTCCTTCGAATCTTTCGATTCGACAGGTGTCACTTCCGTGGTTTCCTTAATCTGTTCAGTTGAAGAGGATTCGGTAACAACAACAGATTGTTTCTCAAGAACTATGTCTTCTTCTTTTTTCAAAGTGTCTTGAACTATCATTGAGTCAGGACTGGAACTCTCGATTTTGTGCACCTCGCTGTAGAAGTCGCTGGAGCTCTCAATCGATATCACTTCGCTGGTTTCTTGCGTAGTTGGCAACGAGACGGCTTCGCTGTTTGCTTCCTCAAGGATCGTCGGTGTCTCCGTGTGAGTTTCACGCGCGGTAGTTGGTGTTTCTGGTTTATCACTCAATCTGGAGTCCAATGACACCACCTCACACGATTGCAGTGTGTCTAAAGTTTCGCTGCGCGATTTCACGATGGCCGGACTACCGTCGCTTTCGGTATTATCTATTGAATTAAGGTCGCAGCTGCAGGATTCTTCCAATCGATCATTTGTCTCGGATGAATCAAACTCCTGTATTACAAAATAAGGTATTATTAAGAGCGACAAATAAATGATCAAATTTTTTTAAAACAAAATTGTATGACATTTCATACGTCATTCCATATAAAAATTAAATTTTATTAATTTTTAAATTACTTTGTAATTTCTTTCTATATGCTGCATCTCGTGATTTTGATTTCCCCACACCGCTGGTCTATTGTATCCATTACTACCAGAATGTTGCTGATCCCATCCAGAAATCGTGCTGATGGGCCTCTGCTGTCTTAGCTCAGGATCCGTAATGTTGTCGGATCTCTGTCGCTCGTAATGCTCGTACATTTGAGCAAACTGAAGCTTGAATTCCTCATATGATACCTGCGTACATCAAAAGTATTAGAAGCTTTTCAAGTAATATGTCTCATAACTTACCTTAGAGTGCACGATAGCCAGCGTATCAACCCAAACACGCCAGCCACCGTATTCATGCTTGATAGCGTGATGAAGAAGCATGCGAAATAAGGAATACACCATATCTGATATCTTCTGTTCCTCGGTATTCTTAGGATGGATGTAAGCCATAGCAATAAGCCACTCCTGCCACACAGACATTTGCAAAACTGTTCGCCGATTCTCCCGATTGTTATTACAAAGTAGTGTCATATCTGACAGGAATAGTTTCTTTACTTCCAGCAGCTGTTCCGTTTGCTTTGATTGTCGAATTAATGTTGCCACTACCTTTAGGATCACTGAAAGAGATAATGGGCGTGTTTAAGTTAACAAAGCGACTAACTTGCTCATCGAACAAATGAACATAATTGGTTGTTACTTATAGATCCAATCAATCATATTCAATTGCTCAGCGAGCGTATCTAGCCGCTTTGTCGTCTTGAACTCGCCCCCATTGACAGGTTAATATAATAGAAACATTTGATTTATTTATCTATCACAGATTTTCAACTTACTTGGATTTTCTAAACGGTAATGAGATTCAGGTTCAGGATGTCTGGTATACAATATTTGTTGACTGATGTGCTCAGTCATAATCTAGAATTAAAAATTGAAAATAAAAATTTAATAAATAAATATTAGGTTAGAAATAAAAACATACCTCGTATAAAACATTGTATGTCGGTAATGAGAGTGTTTCCTCGTTCAATAAGAGCCTTTCAGCCAATAACGTGTACAGATTATGCGGGCTCATGACATCGTATTTCCGTCTGTGCGTACATTAAACAATATGAGTACCTTTTCTAAAGACTTTAATTTTTAATATGAATTATTTGTATAAAAAATTACTTATGTGTACTGCGGCTGAGGAAGAATCCTAGTAGTTTTAACGCTTGCAAACGTATCAACTGGCTTTCAGCTGCCAAAAGTTTGAAAATTGTTCGTACTCCTTGTTTCGCATCGAATGCGGGTACCATCGATGATGGATGTTCCGACATCAAAGATATTAGCATTTGTAAAACATCGTGCAAATTTTCATCCTAAAAATAGTTGGAAAATTTAAAAAAATGTTCTTAAAGAGTTATTATATTACATTATCACATTGTTATTTAAAATTACCTCGTGCATTGTCGTTAAATAATTAAGTATGCTCTGTAATTCATCGTCTTTTACACCGTTACCAATCATTATCAATTGTTTTAAAAATAATAAAATGTATGAACGAATTGTAAGAATGTCTTTCTGTTGCGGTCGCGGACCATCTATCAAAAATAAATTAACATGTAAGATCTAATATTTTAAAAGTTCAGAATAAATTTGCATTAACTGATTAAGTGATTAAATACGGTAACGTACCGAGTCCTTTCGGTGTTATTCCACTTTTCGCGCGAGGATTAGCTACCCAGTAATAGTATTTGAGCGTGTGTACGGTTTGCAAAACCGTCGATACGCGTCTCACATTGGAATAAATTTGCGTGTCGCTAAGAAATTCTGTAGCCAGGTACGAATAAAGCCGTGTTTGAACTGGTGCTGGTGTGTATATCCACAGAGCGGGATTAAAAAGAACGTGATCCAGTAGCTGCCATGTTAGGAATGAAAAATAAAACAACTACATCACCATGGATCTGCCTGTTCTTCGGACACACCAATCTAGCCGACTTTTATATTTCTCTGAGCCGCCATTGATTTTATTTGTATATAATTGTATATAATTTGTACAATTTAATTATTTAGAATTTGTTTATAAGTATGTTTATACAAATATGTTAAATTGTCTTTTTATTATATCTCGATTTACTTTGATTTTAATGTTAATAATTTGTGTAAATACAATGTAAAAGAGAATATAATAATTAAAAATATTATTAAATATATATTTAAATTATAATAGAAAAAATAATTCTCTATATGTGTAAAGAAAGAAATAATGTATAAATATCAAACAGTTACTGAACTTAACGGAAACGAATGAAATTGATGGTAGATAAAGTGCAGGTAGTATTGCTGTTACGAGCAACAATAATTGGTGATTTAGATGAATATAAAATATGACTAGTGCAAATGGTTATATACTCACGCATACACACACATATATTCTGAAAATCGAAAAATGCTATTTGGTTCAATTAATTGCATAATTATTATTTAACATAAATTAAATGGTTATATTTTGTATTGCAAAAGATAAGTTATCAAGAAATATATCGATTTTGTGTATATATTAATATCATATTATATTATTAATATTAAAAAACTGCAATATTAAACAAATTAATCAGGTATTAAATGTTTAGTATTTAATGATTAGTATTTAAGTAATACAATTAATTATGGAAAAACCTGTGATAAAATAAAAAATAATATACCGTGTGATAGGATTTTGATGACAGTGCATATTTAAAGATAGAAAAACATAACTTTTCATGATGGAGCAAAGATAGACAAAGATTCTTAGCGTCGCAAAATAAGAATTATGAATTTTAATGTAAAAGCGACATTACGAACAAAATACTTTGCGTAGCCACTTCTTTCAAATCAGGAAGCTCAAAAGTCGGTAGATTACATGCGATCCGAAGTTTAAATAGCACAATCATTGATCGAAAAAGGAGAGTAGGCATGCTCGTAATGGGATTGTTGAAGAGCCTTTAACAAAATCTCAGTAGTACAGAAATGCATACCAAACACATACATTAATATATACGTAGGATATTTACAAACATTTCGATATAGGAGCAATTGCGATGAAAGCGAGGAAGCTATTACATTACGTAGCAGAGATAACATAAATTGAAGGAATGGGATACATATTGATATTGATATTTTAACGAAATTGAACCAAATTGAATATAATCCATGCATATACATAGAGACAAACAAAATCATCTGAAGACGAGAAAGTATAACTGGATGTGCATGGATGAAGAATGTTTGATTTACAAAAAACTCAATCAACAACTAATAATTTTAAACGCATAATCCTCTTTCCTTACTATTTAAATCAAATAAATGTTACGACGTGACTAAATCTGTTTTATCTACAATTATTAATATGATTTCGTTTCTTCTATCAATAATTTTCTATCTATTTCCAAATCTTTTATAGAAATTGTTTTACTTAATTTTTGTATTGCAGGGATTATAATTTTTATTCTAATTTTTCTAAATCTAATATATAAGCATTTTACACTATCATCAACTAAGATAATCGCAAATTGAATTAAATGTATCGTATTAAAATTATAATTAAAAAAATTTAATAACTATATATTTATATACATACGTAGTATATTCTTTTTAGTTAAATTACATCAAATAACAGTAAGATGCAATTATCTTAACTGAATTACTATTATTTATCATCTAATAAAATATTAACAAATGATAATAGATCGATACCTGTTTCAATAACAAATCGCTGTTTGCGCTAAGACAAGTCACTAAATGTTTCGTAAGCTCCAAGAAAGATGCAAGAACTTCTGTCGTGAGATGATCTCGACTGGCTCTCTGTAGCATAAAACTTATTACCAGAAATCCTCTGTTTTGTACCATATGTTGTTGAACGGTTTGAGAACTCTCCACTAAGTCGCAAATAAACCCGAGCAATTTCGAACTGAAAAATGGTGTCGATGTTTCTTGTAAATACCTTCTATTTAAATGCACGACTTTCTAAAACGATAACTATTAATAAAGCTTTACCATAATGTGGGATCGCGCTTAATGTCGTTCGGTGCTGTGCAGTCATAAGGCATATCCAGCTGTGAGAATAATGGGAACAGTACTTGAATACCACCTATCGAGTTTAACGTGCTGTGAATAGAGTGTGTTATGATTGCCTTGACATCCTGAAAGTCGAAACACAAAAATCTCTTACCTATTTTACACTTTTCTTTTTTATGCGTATTTATAATTTATTAGTGACACAAATAAAAAACTATTTTTAAAAAAATGAAAAACAATCGATCTCCCTAAAAATTAACACGTTTCGTGAAAAAACAACGTATTCGTTAATTTGTCGATACATAGCTTATATGAAAGTGTTACAATTTTGATAAAAGATAAAATACACAATTCTGTCTACACTAAAATCGTGTAGTGTAAGTAGAATAAATTATACCTGTAGCATGAGGGCGTGCGGTGTATGTACAAAATAAGAGACATTGCCTTTCGGTGCGCTCTGTAGACAAAGCTGCGAATCTGTCGCTACTGGATTGTACATGAACACAATTGCATTCGACAACTTTCCGTCGTAAAGTACCTGGAATATTACATGTAAAGTAATAAATTAATAATAGATCTTTTGTGTAAAAAAACTTTTAATACTTATTATAATTTACAATATATTTATTGTATAACATAAGTGCACTACATTATTCAATCTTACAGGATGTGAACATCTTGGATACTAACTACATAATATAAATAAATACACAGAAACCACATACTTGAAAGCAATAATCAATAATACAATACTCTACTTCCTAATTATACTATTACTTACTACTAATTATAGATACCAATTAGCTCTTCAAATTAAATCGTATAATAATATTATACGATATATAATGTATGTAAAAATGCTTATAGCAAAAATACTTTGCAATACATTATCAAATTCATTCTGCAATATTTGTTAACTAAGAAAGGTATGCATTCTAATAAAGAAAAAATATTGTAATAAAAAAATAAAATGAACATAAAAATAGATGCATTATTAATATAAAGTATAATAGATATAATGTAAAATTCACAATTAGAAATAAATTGGCTTTTCCAAAATAAATAATATCAAACGAATGGATAAATTTATCAATCGCAGTGGCCACCAAGAAAACCAGCAGTGATCGTAATTGGGTAATTACCTTAGATGAACTCGAACGCAGTAACAGAATAATTAACAAAGTACAAATCATATGTTAACGGGAAAATAAAATCAAAATGCTTACAATTTGCATACTTTGGTCCACCATGCTCGTAGAGAGATCCTGCTCACTCACCCTTTTATGATTGTCGGGCAGATTCAGGTAGCACTCATTGTCGAATCGAAACTGGCTCTGCGCGTGGATCGTAAAAGCGATGATGAATATTCGTTCACAAATATAAAGTAGAAAATATCAGCGTTTGATTAACGATTCATACATGTATATCTATAGCACGTAGCAACGGTAAAAAATAGAGAGTGAGAGATAGAGCGAGAGAGACATATTATAGCGTACCTTATATCCCGGCCCCAATCTATGCATTGCGCATATCTGATGCGTTGTCAGCGCTTCGCTGAATAAATATATTGCACTCATTTGTCCGCAAAACACGCGCTCTTCGTCCAGTTCGGGGGTTGCTCCAATGTAACATTTGTCAAAAGGCTGTAAAATGATATTACCATTTTTTTTTTCTTTAAATCATAAATTGACGAAAAAAAAGTTATTGTTATAAAATATATTTGCAAACAACTCACGTCATTCGTCGAAACATGCCATGTGGTTTCTGTACTCGACGCCAACTGGCCATTGACCAAACACTTAATTTCACTTTTTGTCCACCTATTGTATATATACACTATCGCGACCATGTACCACTGCAAAAATAACAAAAATATTTTCCTCGTACAGTATATAAAAAATTTTCAATGCACACCGATATAAATCAATTTAAATATTTAATAGTGTACCTTTCGTGGCTGAAATTCGTATTTGACACAATGTTGGAAGCCCTTGCCTTTTATTTTCATTGAAGTCAGGACTAAGCACCTGCCTACAAAATGCGCAGAGTATCCTACTCCTTTGCTTGTTTTAAAGCTAAAATAATGAAAAAGTAATGTAACTTTAGTAAAACTGTCTCACTCAACCTCTTTTAAATATGCTTATACTTTTATTAATCTATTTCAATTTAAAAGATATGATTCGTATAAAAATAAATAGTAAAAATTATATATATAGGGGAGCAAAGGTTGTAACAGGGGTAAATAGTAACACACAATTTTTACCGAGATTTTGAACTCTTTGACTCGAATATTTAACATGATCTTAGCCTTATAACTCCCTGCATTACATAAGTACAACCAGTGTTCCGCCAGGCAGTATGATAGGTTTCATAACATATACAATATTCTGAAAATTGTTACAACACGCCCCTCGTTCCCCTACTATACATATAAAATAATTAAAATTATTTCTAAACAAATACAGTTAGAATAAAATGTGAAACAATTTAAGATATAAATATTACAATTTATTTATGGATTTTCAGTATGTTAAAATCCTCTTAAAATGATGTCAATTGAGCATCAAATTATTAAATTTCTTCAATTTAATTTGTGATATTACTACTGTAGTTCTGTTGCGTTTTTAAATTCAAAAAATCAATTCGGCACGCAGTTCAAATGACTATATTTGTAGTATATAAATTTACATTAAAATATTTAAACATTTAATTGTAAGATCCAGCATCAACTGTTGTAGGCATTATTTCTTGCTTGTCACATTACATGACTTTAATAAATCGTTTATTATTTTATAAATATTATTTCTGTTGCAAATATATAAAGAATTACGCTTAATAAGTTCAATCAGATATCCGACTGCTTTCCTCAAAGTTAAAAAACTTATCCCTCGTCCCACGTATCTTCATTCCTCGTCCCTTATTTATTTATCCCTTATTCCTTATCTTTTTGTATCTCATTCTTTCGTCTTTTGTCGCCCCCAAATCTTCGTTCCTTATCTCTCGCCTCGTCCCTTGTTCCCCGCCCCCGTTCCCCATCCCCCGTCCCGCAAGCCTTGTCTCTCGTTCCTCGTCCCTCGTTCTTTAAACTGCCGCTCTACCTGGAGAAAGTACTTTCGTAAGGGTACTTGATGTGAAAGCACTTACCAGTAGAGGTACGGTTTTTCTCGTTCGATATTAACAGAGTTGATGGGATCTAGACGGAACCATGTGGTAAAGGTAAATCCATTCTCGTGCGGCCACTTTGCAAGCGGTGGCAAAACAATTGCCTGTAGCAGACAAGATATGATGAAAAGATTTTATGTAATTTTTCAGCGAAATATCGTAATATTAAATACAATATTCATTATTTAATTTGTTTTCAATTTTTTATGATATGTTATTTTAACTCGTTTTTACAACATACCTACAATGCGTAAGTAAAATGGATATTGTAACAACATTAGTAATGCACAATGAAAGTTATGCTACATGCAAGCTACATTTTAATTTTAGTTTCCATTTTCTCGAAGTAATTATTGCAAATATTACTTTATCTTATCTTCGTTAACAGAATATGCAATATGCGTCATGTTTTGTGTAATAAGCTTTTCAACTCTCTATCTCCAACAAGCTTTTCAAAAAAACTGTAGTAAATTCAAACTGCATATAATTTGATATAATTTAATTAATAATTATGCATAAGCTGTTTTGTGGAGCGTTATAATGTGACTATGAAACAAAAAGCAAAATTATAATGATACTTGTTATTGATTTATACTCAATTACGGCTTTATGTACGTATTTTTTACAATAATATAATTAATTTCAGATCACCATATAAAAAGTATACAATTAATGAAGACACAGAAAAAAAGAAGAAAGATTGTCATTATACAGTGTTGCTTGATGTTATTAACACGGCACATCTTATAACAAGTAGGGCAGCTTATAACTTTAGTTTGAAAACTTCATCAAAGTTACTAATCCAGACTATGTCAAGTACTAGTTTTTAAATAATTAGAGGAGAAATTAATATCCCCTACACACACAAAGGACAGCAAAAATCTTTAATTTTATTGCTTCTTATTTAAACACCATAAATTCGCCTCATCTATAAATATTCTTTCTTTTTTTTTCATGTGAACTATATTAGATAATCATATTATATATAATATAATATTAAATATATAATAAATATTCGAGTTTTTTGTATTAAATCTAATATTTCAATCAAACTTCAATCACACTTGACGTTTAGAAAAGTTTCTTAGCATGATTGATTTCGATGACATATAAGCTAGTAGTGGAATCTTGCGAAGGGTAAATTCTTTTATCGGAACTTTGATCGAGTTTAGAATGGAACGATGTCCTTTGGGACGTCGTAAAGTAAGAAGTATCTGTTTTAAGATAAAGATGAACAAAAAAAGAACTCACCGATCCCTTCTTGCCAGGAAAACTGAAAAACACGTCTGGCCCATTTCGCTGCGGCATTTGGCGGAGGACGTTTAATAGTTTCGCCGAATGCCGTGGCTATAAAATGTAAATGCTACTTTAGTAATCTCATTGTTGGTGTGTGTAATGTATTCGCTTAATATATCTATTGAACACATTCTTGCAATAACATCTATTTAAATTTTCATTTTATTTGCAAATAAATCTTAAGAATTCTTACCCACTTTCCTTTAACGGATTTCATAGTACCGAACAAAAGCTTCAATTCTTTCACTGTTATGCTATAGCTTGCTAGCACTCCCAGCATATCGATTAACAAATCTGTTACAGTATACAAAAATATTAAAAGTATATATTATAAAAAATATATAATATAATTAGTTACAATAGAAAAAAGTAACAAGTTTCTATATCGTGATATGTAATTAATGTAATCTATGTAGATGATATTTTGTTATAGATTTTTTTTATATTAGAAAATTAAATTATTTCAATCAGCGGTAATATAATGCTCGTTAAAAAATATTTACTTACCGGCAACAACAGTTTCCGCACGAGATAATCGATGTAGAACATGTTCTATGAGACTTACATCAGTACATGCTTGTAAGTTTCTAACGCTTTTTCTCAGAATCGCAATAAAGACGCTCCATATTTCGGCCTGAAACAAAAATATCGCGCATTTATTACTTATTTGCATTTATGAAATAATTACGTATAAGACAATATCTTCTTATATCTAATAAGGATACAATATCTTCTTATTTAATAGAAAAATACATCTTTACTCAATATTTATAATAGTATATCAATATAAACATATACAAAATGATTTCGAAAATGTTATAATATTAATTTTAAATATATTGTATCGTATATACGAAATATAAATATGAATTTAAAGTTTATTTAAGATTGTTAAGAATAACTAGATGATTCAAACGAACAAGCTATGTCTCTCAACAATTTGATTCAAATGGAATTTCATTATGCGTAATTACCTACGTTATTATCGTAAATCATCTGTTAAAGTCAGATTGAAGAATATTAATTAAAACATTCCACGCGCATATTAATATTCGCCTGTTTGCTGAAAATATGCTTCTATTAAAAATATTAACGTTACCAACGAAAATTTTATTAGCCTTAATTTTTAATTTCCCCTTTCTGTTAGAAATTATATACATAACAAACACGAATTATATTTAAATTACATATTACTTGTAAATAAAATAAAGGGTAAAATATAAAAGGTATAATTAAAAATATATTTAAGAATTTCCTTCTATGCTCTTAAGTATTTAAAGTATTTTTCGGGTATTTTATATTTAGTTTGTCGGAATGTAAGTTAAAATTATTTCAATTAAAAATGCACATCTTTTATATAAATAAATTTCTATTATCCAGTATTTTTATTAGTTCATTTTGTTAATTCTTCAATTTAACTCCATTCAATACGATCCGATTCAATTAATCAAATTGTCCTAACAGACAGAAAATCCAGACAGAAAATGTCTTTGTTATAGATAATGGCTTACCAATTACGTCCAAGCAAAAACTACTTGGAAAGGTTCTCAAGTGGAGTAGTGGTGGTTTTACTCTCGTAACGAATAAAGGATGGCTTAATAAAACCGCACGCTTACCCGGTGAAGAAGAAATTAATGCTCTAAAGAGGTTTTTTGTAAACCATCACGAATAATTCACTTGGGCATTCCAAATAAAGCAATATGAAGATTTCTGTTCATGCAGGAAAGTGTCATTTAATACAGTTAAATAACTATAATATTTCCAGCTGTAGAAAACTGAGAGTAACATAAGTCCAAGTCACAGATATTAACATAGTTTACTAGTAACTATTTCAATATGCAGCGAATGCTGTCCGGCAAGAGCGTTTATATGGCGGAGATCAACTTCCGATGGCTTTGCAGCAGTTCATCTTCAAATTATTGTACTCCTGGATAGTCAGACGACCGTGTACAACCAGTGCGACGCGAACGTAGACCGTGTACCCGCGTAATCCCCTACTGATATGCAAGGTAGGCCACGAAGCGAGATAACTACGGGTGCAGGGTAACCGCCGAATAGCGGAGAAATCCCGAAAATGCCGCTGGAATTCCCCCAGTCGGTATTTCGGCCCCGCGAGCCGGAGTTTTAGCGAAGAGAAGTTATGGGCATTCGGATAATTCGGGAGTAATGATCTCGCGGCTGTACACCTTGTCGGCTTACTACATCGAAGTTGTGGATGAATCCACCCGGAGTGAACAAAAAAGTGACAGAAAGAAGCAGGAGAGAACGAGAGAGGGGATGGAGGGAGAGAAAAGGGAGGATAGAGAGAAAGTACTAAGTAATGTCGTAGAAGCTTTCAGCTGTCGCTCGACCGTGATAAATTGCTCTGAATCGCGAGAGCAATGGTTAGTCAAGTTGATCTTCGTGCTAGGTTATCTCGTTTTCGCGCTAAAGACGATAGATGCTGCTTATCTATCGCCTCTTAGATGTTGACATCTGGACAATGTCGGAAGTACAACCGAGTTTACAACTGTAAATATTAAACACGAATAAGTTACGGTTAAAATTTATAATCATATTTATTTAAATATATTCATTCAAGCTGAAAAAAAATTATATTTATTTTCCACACGTAAATACAAAAAATATATTTATACTCATGTTCATATTTATTTATTTTATTTGTTCGAATATTGAATACACATATCGGACATACTACTTTTACTACATTAAAAATTTCATCGATCATGTACATTACTATACACACTTATTATTTTTTCTCAATTTAATTCTCAATACATTATTTGTATTTTTATATGCAATAAGAATCAAAATAAATTAAAGCGTAAAATATATGCAAAATTCTCTATAATCGCTTTTTTTTTCTTGTTGTTAGAAATAAAAATCTAGAATCTTGCTCCTTTTTATATTTGCGAATATTATTACAATTTTTTCTTTTATATTTCTTTTATTTAGTAATATTATTTCTTTTTTTCTAAATTGAATATTTTTATTTATTTTTATTTTTGATAAAAATGTATTACTGAATTAATAAAAAGATTATTAAAACTCTAGTAGTGTATTCGATTCAAATAATATTCTCTAATTATTTCTAATATTCTTTTCGTGAGTCTAATAATATTTTTCCATAAGAGTTATACTTCTGTTCGATATTAAGATGAATATAAATAAAATTGTACCATTTTTTTAAATTACATAATGCATAAAACCATGTTCTCTTTCGCTTACCAGAAATAAAAATCCTTTCTCTTATTTAGAAATTTTATTACAATCTTCTTTTCTAAATATTATTTGTTTAATTTCACATAATATTGACCGTTTCATTGCACAAGTGACAAATTATCTTTGAAGGAATACGTGACCCACGACGCAACTTGCAAATTGAAAAACGCACGAATGTGTGAAGTGAGCCGTTGATAGAAGTGAAGGTTGGTATAAGTACTCGAATTATCCGAGTCAACGACGCGACGCTCCGGTATGCGTCGCGCGCGGTCGCTGTTGTTTCGTGTTTTCGATAATAAAACAAAAATAACAAATTTATAGATAATCTAATATTACTTCGCATGTCGTGACGCGATATCGTGTGTATACGAGTGACTACGAGCCTACGAGACTGGCGGCGAGCATCGAAGTTCCAATCCAACGACTAATTTTGAATCAACGACGCGCAGCCATTTTCTTCACGATTCGTGAGTATCGTATTATTTTATGTTGAATTCCGCGTTTCCTTTTGTGATTTAAACGTATTTCGTGAAGACGTAAATCGCATACTTACGCGAGCGTTGAGCTGTAAATAGGACGTGATAATATACGCGCAGGACGCTCCAGACAAATCACCAGGAGCAGCCTGGTTGACCGAGTACACCTTCTCGTCCGTCTTCCATGTCGACGCGACGCTATGGCGACTAGACGGCTTTCGTCCTTCTCACTCTCACAACCGTCGTAATGAAATGACAAATGGCCGAGCAGCTCGAGCTGATACACTCGATTTGTTCGCCTATACGCGCGGAGAAATCGCAAACTATGATAGATGTGAGAAAAAAGATACCTTATACGTTGGTCGCGGCATTAAGTAGCAATTGTAATTCTTAATGACAATGTCGATGTTGTTACATTGTTACATCGTTGCGTTTTTTTTTACCATAGGTATACACAAAATTTGTGCAATGTAACGAAATCGTCATTGTGAGTTATATATACGAGTAGAATAAAGATCATATAGAGTCGGTTTTAGGTGAAGACTCTAATTTTTTAACGATTCTCCGGTTGATGGAAAGAATTACCGATTAATATATCGCTTAAAATTTTATCAATTTTTTAATCTTTTTTTGAAGTGCACATTTTCTTTGGTTTTTTTAAATCTTCGACAGAGAGGGGGGAGGAGGAGAGGGAGAGGGAAGAAGAAAACTTTGGTTTATATAATTCGTCAGCAAAGGAGAGTATAGCTTTTTTTTGTAATTGTTCAGCAATTGTTCATTATTACATTTTTTAAATATATTTTGTATTTTTCCTTGAGTGTAGCGTCATTATTATGATAATTTTCAGTTTCAAGAGGGAAAGAAACGAAAAATAGAAAAAAAGAAAAAATATAAAAGAATATATGAAAAATCATCCTCGAATGGTCGCGAAAATGTGAAAATTATCCTCTTTTTTTCAAGCGTTAATTAAGCTTAATAAGACAGAAAAATTCTCGGATCTTTTTATCCAGTTAACAGGCTTGAAAGATTTGTGATAAATATAATATTAACCTTATATTTGATGAGAGAGCTGTTTTTAGATAAAGCAAAATAGTTAATATTTAATTATGTCAAGTGACTAGTGACAAGCGATACCCAATTAAAATAATAGTAATCTTTGGGTGAGAGGGAGAATTTGACCAAATCTGCTGATCCTATTATTTAGTAAGAGCGTTATAAGCTATAATAGCACGTGTATACATTACATTCACACGTAAAGAAACGAGAATTATTATTAGAAGAATTTTAACTAGTTTGCACGAATAAATTACCGTGAGAAACGAAACCGAGAAGAGATTTTTTTTTTTTTCTTTGTAATGGTCTGTAATTCATGTATTCCATCCTGTTTTGTTTATAAATGACTATCGTGTTTTTCCCTGATGTATAACGTCCCGTTTTAACAATTCAATAGCATGTATTTTCTCGAAAAAGCGCTAGTCTGAATAAACCAACGTAGTGTAAGGGTAGAAATAAAATTTTAATTTGAGTAACACGTCATCTCGGTAGCGAATGCCGTATAATAAATTTAATATTGAAATTGTTTCGGTGTATTCGCTACGTGAAATACAAATATATGGATGTGGCAAATGAGTGGAATGCCAAAAATTTCATCATTTAAATCGAACATTTTGTTTTCCCGATAATAAAAAAAGGAGATATATAGGTTGCAATATTGGTTATTTAACGGCAATTTATAATTAATACAATTATTGTAGTCTTTGAAACTTGTATAGCAGCGTTATATTTTGAAATATTGCGAAGATAAAAGCATAAAATAATAAAAATATTTCAATGACCATCGTATTTTTTTAAATTGATTTCACTAACAAGTAAGACAAAAAAGAATAATCAACAAAAAGATGTTATAATTTTTTAAAATTAGTTTGACTATCTCTTA